GCTTTTTGTGTTTTGTTTTGTTTTGTTTGTCAGTTGTGGGGCTTGACTTCAGAGCCAGGGTGCTGTCCCTGAGCCTCTTTGTGCTCAAGGCTAGTGCTTTACCACTTGAGGCATGGCACCATTTCCAGTTTTTTAAATACATTTTTAATTGTAAAAAATACTGCACAGAGGGGTTACAGTTACATGAGCAAAGTAATGAGTACATTTCCTATCAAGCATTGTTACCTACACTCCCAGTTCTTGAGTGGTTAATTGGAGATAAGTGTCTCACAGGGATTTTTCTGTCTGGGCTTGGCTTCAAACTGCAATACTTATATCTTAACCTCCTCAGTAGCTAGGATTACAAGCATGAGCCACCAGCACCCAGCATAGAAGGCTTTTTAAAATTAGGATTTTCATAATATGTATATTCTATGCTTGACATTTCTCTACCTTTATTTTTTCTAACAGTCAACACATATTTAGGTCAGTTTTCTCTGGGCATTTTATATTTTAATTGCCCTGTTAAAGTCTGTTACCTTTTTATTTCTAATTAGATTTACCTAATAATAGTAATTATGTGTACCTCTAATATTTGTTTTCTATTTTGCCCATACATTCTTCCTTAACTCCAACTCTAACAATTTTTTTAATTGTGAAAATACTGTACAGAGGGGTTACAATTACATGGGCAAGGTAATGAGTACATTTCTTATCAAGCATTGTTGCCTCCTCCTTTGTTTCCCCTTCCCATCCCTTCCCATCTCCCCCCACCACCACCCTACCCCACCCCCACCCTCCCAAACCAAAGTTGTAAAGTTCATTTTTCTACATAACAACTTGTACATCTCATTGTTGCAATGGGTCTACCTGCATCCCTATTTAAATGATTTGTTTTTTCCCTTTCCTCCACAAATTATACGAACATCAAATACAATGAAAGCAGGGGTTATACCATGGGGGAGGGACAAACAAAGCAATAAAAAATCATCTTATAAATATGTTAGAAACAATCACAAGAAAGAAAAAACATTTGAATACTTATCTTGGGCTTCATTTCACTTAACATCAACTTATCTGACATTTTTCTGCTTGTCTCAGACATATACTAGTTATTGCAAATAAGGGAAAACATTTCTGCCTATGTTTCTTTGGGCCTGGCTTACTTCACTTAATATTTTTTCCAAGTCTGTGCATTTCCTAACAAATGGGGCAATGTCATTCTTTCTGATGGAGCCATAGAATTCCATTGTGTATATATACCACATTTTCTTGATCCATTCATCTACTGAGGGGCATCTGGGTTGGTTCCATATCTTAGCTATGGTAAATAATGCTGCAATAAACATAGTTGTGCTGGTAGCTTTAGTGTGGTCTTGTTTGTGATCATTTGGGTAAATGCCCCAAAGTGAGATTGCTGGGTCATAGGGGAGCTCTATGTGGAGTCTTTTGAGGAACCTCCATATTACTTTCCAAGGTGGTTGAAAAAGTTTACACTCCCACCAACAATGCAGTAAGGTTCTCTTCTGGCCACATCCCCTCCAGCATCTGTTGTTATTAGAGTTCTTTATAGCCATTCTAACTGAGGTGAGGTGGCATCTCAATGTTGTTTTGATTTGCATTTCTTCATCGGTCTATTGGCCATTCTTTTTTCCTCCTCAATGAAGTTTCTCTTTAAGTCTTTAGCTCACTTATTTATTGGGCAGTTGTTTCTTTTCTTCTTCTTCTTTTACTTTTTTTATTGTGAAAATACTGTAGAGAGGGGTTACAATTACATGGGCAAGATAATGAGTACATTTCTTATCAAGCATTGTAGCCTCCTCCTTTGTTTCCCCTTCCCATCTCTTCCCATCCTCCCCCCACCCCCCACCCAATCCTTCTCCCCACACACACACCAAAGTTGTAAAGTTCGCTTTTTGACATAATGACTTGTACATCTCATTGTTTCAATTGGTCCACCTGTATCCCTATTTATATGATTTGTTTTTTCCCTTCCTCTCCACAAATTATACCAACATCAAATACAGTGCAAACAGGGGTTATACCATGGGGGAGCGACATACAAAGCAAAAAAGAAATAATCTTATAAATGTGTTAGAAACACTCGCATGAAAGAAAAAAACATTTGAATACATATCTTAAGGTTCATTTCCTTAACATCAACTTATCTGGCCTTTTTGCTTGACTCAGACATATACTAGTTATTGCAAATAAGGGAAACCATGGGACCTGTGTTTCTTTGGGCTTAGCTTACTTCACTTAATATAATTTTTTTGAAGTCTTTCCATTTCCTAACAAATGGGGCAATGTCATTGTTTCTGATAGAGGCATAGAGTTCAATTGTGTATATATAGCACATTTTCTTGATCCATTCATCTACTGAGGGGCATCTGGGTTGGTTCTGTATCTTAGCTATGGTAAATAATGCTGCAATAAACATAGTCGTGCTGGTAGCTTTAGTGTGGTCTTGTTTGTGAACATTTGGGTTGGGTAGTTGTTTCTCTGAGGATTTGTTGTTGGGGGATTTAATTTTTTGAGTTCCAGTTGTGAGTGTCTAACAATTTTATGAGTTATTATTCCTCTACATATTAAGACTATTTACACCCCAAGGCAATTTTGATTCAAGTGTTAAGATATTTAAGTCTTTTGTCAATTCTGTGGAAATGAAAATTGAAGATTCTTCAATCACATTGAATACTCTCAAATTTTATACTATTTTATATGCAAACTATGCATCAAACTCCATAAACTTGATATTTTCCTCTGCATAGTGTTTCTGCATATTATGTTCTTTAAAGGATGTTCATTGGTGAAATTTTTCAGTTTTTTTGCTAAAACAGTTTCTATTTGAATTATGAAGGATAGTTTATTTTTCTGTAAATTGTAATCTAAATTGTAAGTAATTTTCTTTCTTCATTCGAAGCTATCATTCTTTCTTGTTTCCATTCTTTCTTTTGAGAAATCACCTGCAAGTATTAATGATCTCCCTTAAATTTTATGTTCTCATCCTTCCTCTTCCTTGTAAGATGAAGTGTCTAGGAACATTTAGAGGTGGGTTTAAAATTGCTTGTATTCGTATCATTTCTTGATATCTAAGTTTTGAAAAATTCTCAGCCATTATCCATTTTTAAAATTGCTCAATCCTTGAGTAATTCTAAAGGCTGGCAGAATCTTTTTAACACTATTTTGTCTTCTCAGCTTTTCTATATATTTATTTGTAAGAATTATCCTTCTGAAAAGACTTGAAATTTAAAGTGTGTGTGTGTGTGTGTGTGTGTGTGTGTGTGTTTGTGTACTAAATGGGGTTTCTTTCATGTATGATGCTTCTATTTATTTTTTAATAAGTTTTTCATTGTGAAAATACTGTACAGAGGGGTTATAGTTACATGAGCAAGGTAATGGGTACATTTTCTATCAAGCATTGTTGCCTCCTTCTTTGTTTTTCTCCTACCATCCCTTCCCTCCCACCTCTTCCACTACACTCCCCCCAACCTAAATTGTAAAGTGTCTTATACATCTCATTGTTGCAATGGGTCCACCGGTATCCCTATTGAAACGAATTGTTTTCCCCCTTCCCCTCCCCAAATTATACCAACATCAACTACAGAGAAAACAGGGGTTCTACCATGGGGGAGGGACATACAAAGCAACAAAAAAAATCACATGCTAACTTATAAATACGTTAGAAACAATAGCAAGCAAGGAAAAAAACACTTGTCCCTATCTTGGGATTCATTTAACTTGGAAAAAATTATATTAAGTGAAGTAAGCCAGGCCCAAAGAAACATAGGTCCAATGGTTTCCCTTATTTGCAATAACTAGTATATGTCTGGGACAAGCAGAAAAGGTCAGATAAGACGATGTTAAGTGCAATAATGCCTCTATTTCTTGCTTTTGCTTTTTTTTAAAGGAATATAAAACTATTTATTGACCACTGTTCACCATTATTTACAATAAAGTAAACAATATACAGTTGGGTAACATTCTGATTACTACAAAGTTGTTTCTCTGGCTTTTGTGAAACCAGTAACCCAATACTGAAAAAAATTGAACTTACATGTAAGGAATGAGTTGTGGTAAAGAAAAAGCATGCAGGTCAATAATTATAAAATTTTGATCATTTAGGCCAGCAGGTCCTAAATAGTTGAAATCCCTAACCAGTTGATTTTACATTTTCATGAGCTGAGACTTAGATCATGACCCATGAACTTTTAGTATACAGATTCCAATATTCTGTTAAGGAATGCTCACTACAGAAACTTTTAATGAAAGGAAATAAAAACGTCTTAGTTTTTTCATCTGTATGAGGAAAGTTGTTGGTAGTGATAAATTTTTTCCTTTCAAGAAGTTTTGCAAACCTACTGCATTTGTCTATCTATGGCAGAGGCAGGAGGACCTAAAGTTTGAGGCTAGCCTGGCTACCTAGTAAGTTCAAGGCCAGCCTGAGCTGCCTAGTGACCCTGTCTCAAAAAACAACAACAAAAAAAAACTAAAACAAGGGCCAGGAATATAACTCAGTGATACATCATTTGCCTACATATGCAAGGCTCTGGGTCTGATGCCCAACACCTCTAAACAAGCAAAATCTCCAAAACAAAAAACTACCTATGTATTTTGTTTACACTCACACCAACACACACACACAAAATACAGGATGGTCCTTCAACATAGCAGTTAAAGACAAGCTGTTTTGATTAATGACCAAAAAAAATTGCCTAATATTAAAAAAAACACAACCTGTTCCTGAATGCAGAGGAAATATACCATGGAATTAAATATTCTTTTCTGATAAAAGAAGCAACTACAGAAAGCCTTTATTATATTTGTTCAAAGTAACCAGTGCTATTGAGGAAAAAAACCCAAAAAACTCAACAACTCCCCCAATACTACTTTCAAAACCATTATCAAACTTGATTTTCTTTAGAATGTAGTTATTGTTTCACACCATTAATTAAAAAAACCAAGACTCAGATTTTATATATATATGTATAAATATATATAAAAAACAATGCAAACAATTATTAAGCTTCATCTTCTAGACAAGAATGCCAAGTTAGTCTCTCTTCATAAAATGCAATTACAATCTGAGGACATTTCATATTCGCCTCTTTTGCCAGCACCAAGTCAGCTTCATCCGAATCTTTCCATTTCATGAGAAACATCAATTCTCCACTGCTGTCTGTGGCACCAATTATTCGTTCAGGATCTAGACCCCTGGCAAAACCTCTTGGTTTGTCAGCAGTATCTCTTTTCTTCTTTGATTTGCTATCATCAGATTCACTGTCTGATAAAGATTTTCTTTTTGTACCATCCTTTTCTTTTCCAGCTTTTTGAGAGTTAAGAAATGCTTCAATTAATTCTGGACAATCTAAATTTTCTTCAGGTTCCCAAGTATTATCAGCATCTGTAAATCCTTTCCACTTCAGGAAATATTCTACTTTCCCATTCATTACACGTCGGTCCAGTACTTTTTCCACAACAAATTCTTCAGGCTCTGCTTCTTCAACTTTTTTACTCTTTCCATTTTGTTTCTTTCCCATTTTTTTGCAATGTAGTTTTGTTAGAGGCCATTTTTAATTGTAGACTTGAAGAGCTATTACGACTTCACCACCTCAGATGCTCCGGGTCGTGATCCTGCAGCAGCAGCAGCGTCTACCTGCTTTTGCTTTTTAGTTGGAGATAAGTCTTGCCATTTTATCTGCTTGGTTTTAAACTGATATTCACATATGTCGACCTCTGAGTAACTAGGATTATAGGCATGAGCCACCAGTATGTACCTCAAAATTCTTACCATTTGATCTAAACAGTCATTTCTTTCTATACCAATTAGATGTTTCCATCTTATGTCTGTTGAATTTGATCTTTCACTGTATACTTAAAAAATATTGATAAAATTTTTTTTCATCATAAAACTGATAAATATATGAGGTGACTAAGTGTTAATATCTGGATTAATCATTCATAATACATACATATACTAAATCATTAGAGTGTATACTGATAGTGTACATTTCACTTGTGAAATAAAAATAATTGCTGTAAAAATAAACCTGAGTTCATTAAAACATTGCAGGTAGAGATTTCATGGTTTATATTGACAGTCGTTTTTCCTTCTTGAGAGTATTTGTATATAGTCGACAGATAGTTTTCAAATTTTCTGTACCAAACAGCTATTAGATACCAGGTAATATTCTTTGTCACAAGAGGTTATATTTTACTGATTTGTCATATGATCATAATATAAATTTTGATTCTCAAGATTGGAAGAAATTTGAGCCTGACCTTTACTTGTGTCAGATTTGGACGCCAAAGGACATCAAAGTCCTTAATATTAAGAAACCCTTACAGAGAGAGTAGAACGAAAGGGATTGCTGAGTGGCAGAGCACTTACCTAACATTCAAGAGGCCTTGGGTTCCATCCTTAGTACTGCAAACAACAGCATTTCAACACATGAAATCTGTGATATGGTATTAGAGGCAGATATGTACAAAGTTTTGAAATTCTTAGATATGTTCTAAAAGCAGAATCTCTCCAGGAACAAGATCATACAATGACTTAGAAGATCTTAGAAGAAAGAGGTCAAGAAACAGTGACAAAGTCAAGAATGTGATAAGCTGTGAAATTTGAAGTAGAAATATATTCCAGACAGAGTAAAATGTCAGAGAGATCACAGGATAGACTATGTAAAGAAATTGTGAATAGAAAACAACTATGCATAAGTAAATACGTAAGTGTTGATGGTGGTCTGAATGAATTTTACTAATGGCTAAATGAGATAATTAGGATAACTGAGAGTTATGAATGAAATATTAGTCAAGCCTCTAGCAAAGAATTTCAGAATCTTGTTAAGAGATGGAAAACCTGACAAAAACTAATTCAAAATATCATAAAACAATTTTTTAGAAATATAAATTCTTTTTGATGGCATAAGTTGAAATCTTTTAGTGTTTCTTCCTGTGAATTATTCTGTGAGACTTAACAATGCTAAATATGGCCTCTCACGGCCACATCAGACAGTTTAATGATATGATTAGAATCTTTCAATGTTTTCTTTACTTGCCTACATCTATCTGGTTTCCTTTTTTGTGAGAATTGTTCACAGAAACGCCTCTCTTAGATTTTTCTCATTCTTCAGAGATAAAATTGTCAGCAGAGACACCCAGAGTTTATCAGATTTTCTATTTTAAGTACTCTGAATACTGAAGTGTTTTTTTCGAGATTCAAGTTCATATGTATATAGATAGAGAGAGAGGAGTATAAAGTTGTTTTTAAGCATTAACAAAGGAGGCGGATACAATGCTTGATAAGAAATGTACTCATTATCTTACCCATGTAATTGTAGCCCCTCTGTACAGTATTTTCACAATAAAAAATAAAAATAAAATTACCAAACAAAAAAGCATAATTAGTTTATATATGCATTTGACGGTATGCAGTAAACTAATGTACAAGGTCTAAATTATGTCAGTTTTACCCAGATTCGTATGTGATTATTCCACATGGAGAAAGTTAGCAAGATATTATATGATACCTTTCAGCCAATTTTAACAGGGCCAGAGCCAGACCCCAAAAGGAGATGCCATTAGCAGCTGAAGTGAGCACTAATTATTAAATTGCTTAACTTACCAAGAACAATTGGTGATATTTATTAATTTTCTGGAACGATTTTCTCTTTCTCTTACTACTTTTATATGTATTAGGCCTCAGCTTGTTTTAAGGTAAGTTTTCTGTTCTTCATACTTACCTATTCAAGAATTCTTAAATTAATTAACGTAGTATTTTAGTACAGTATTTATGCATTTTTGAAACCCAAGATGCTCATAAGTTGACCATCAGAAGGCTCTTCAAGCTGGCTCTTGTACCCTTTAAATACAATTCTATCACTCTGGATATTTCCTTGTTCTAGCTTCCCTAGATGTTTCCGTGATGTGGTATTTGCTCTGCCCTAGCCCTGAGTCAGGAATCTGTTTACCTTCATATGGATGGTTTACAAACACAATTTACCTCTTGTTGCTAAACATATTCAGTGGTATTGCAATGTCACTCTAGATCCTTTAATAATAAGACAAGAAAGATATGCATACACCTGTCTTTGTATATGTATGCACGCTTTTGTATAGGTGCATGCACATTGGTGCCTAAGTATGTGTGCATGCATGTTCACACACAGAACACTTGCGGTCTTTTTTCCATTCTGTATTTGAAGTAAAAGGCAGAGAAGTTATAGTACATGCTATGTTTAATGCTCAAAGTTTTGGAATGGTCTTCCAATGCCCCAAATCAATAGTACCAGACCATCATTACATTTGCACTAATTCTCGTCTCCACTAATATTCTTCAGCTCTTAGGTTTTTCCTGCTATATCTATATGCAAGCATGGGGTTCCATTTTGAACATATTGCTACATTTTTTTCAAATGTTCTTCTTGTTATCAGCAAATTATTTGCCAGATATTCCTAGTATATTTTCAGGAGTCCATCTTATTTCATATTTTAAATTAATTACCTTCTACTTATGTCTACATAAAATTCTAATCTTTGAAAACATCCCTCTTTTTAATCTTTCAAAACAAATCTCAAAGAATATTTCCTAACAAAACCAGTCTTTCTGTGCCATGTCTGGCTTTTTCTGAGTAGTTTATTGGAAACAAAAGTCTGATGGATTTTCCTGCCTGGGCTTGCAATCCTCAGATCTCAGCCTCTTGAATAGCTAGGATAACAGACATGAACCACTAGCACCTGGCTTATTTTTTTTTTTCTTGTTGGTTGTTGGGCTTGAGCTCAGATCCTGGGCTCAATTCTTTTGTGTAAGGCTAGTGCTCTGCCACTTTGAATCACAATTTCATTTCCAGATTTGTTTTCCTGTGATTAATTGGATATAAGAATCTCATAATAAGTTTGAAATGTTTTCACAAATCATTTATAACCAAAATTTGCAAATGATTTTTAAGGATTTTTACTTTGTTTTACAACACTATCTCTGTAGAATGCTTTTTTAAAATTGTTCATTCAGTTGTGGCAGCTGTTAATTTGTTTCTGCCATCTTTCATGTTTCCCCATGTTCCCCTCTGTCTGTCTACCACCTACAGTAAAATCAATATGATCTGTAGAAAAACAGCAGCAAGGACAGCAGCTTATTAAGCGAAAGAACAGAGCAATGCCATTTCTTATAAAATCATCTACTTTCAAATCAAAAAAGCTGAGAAGTTGAAAGAAAATCATTAATATTCATTAATCTTACTTATTGTCTTCAGAGTTTATGGGTTCCAAAATTACTAAAATAGTTCAAACTTTATTTTAGCTGTAAGATGTTTTAAAGAAGTGTAATTATGAGTACTTTTCTTTGAAGTCTCTGAAAATGTTTTTCTCTAGTTTTAAGAAGAGCGTGGAAGTCAGATTTCCTGTTTTATGTAACAACATTACCTGTTCGTATTATTTCTTATCCTATTTATCTAGAATTTTTCTTTTCTTTTAAATTTTTGAAGTCCTGGGGTTTGAACTGTGGGCTTAGGCGTGCTGTGCAGGCAGGATAATGGGTATGTCATGCATATCATCCCTAGCCTTTTATTTGTTGAAATATATCTTGCAACTTATTTGGCAGAGCTATTTTCTTTGCTTCTACACAGTTCAAAGCACCTTTATTTAAATAAGAGATCCTGCCAACCCATGATCATATTTGAAAAAAAAAGCTGTTAGCATTCCATATGTAAGTACAAGAAAAAAATTGAAGGAAAAACCTATAATAAGACTATATGATCACCTTTTCTGCCTAACTATTTTTTTGCTATGTTTATTACTTTGTAAAACATGGTGAATACTGCCGAGGCATATGTAGCTAAAGTCCATCTAAATTTGAATTCTTCTATTGAAAGTAATTCTTTTGTATGTCTTCCTTTAAAAAAAACTGATATACTTTAAGGAGTAGCATTATAATTTCATTTGTGGATTGCAGTTAGAGAAACATAACATTCCCTCATTACCTCTAAACAGAAATGCTTTAGTTAACTGTATACAGAAGTCTCTAATGGTGTTTACCATGAAATGCAGGCCTGCACTAGAATCCTAAATGCATATCAATTAAGAACTTTTAAGGAATAATAAATACTGTACATTGTTTCATTTACCATAAAAGGTAGCATATCTTATTACAAAATTGTATTTTATAGGGCTATAAATTGAATGTATGCAGCTTGGTTTTTGTTAGTGTCAACTTGCTCGCTCCTGCTGGGAGAACTCACCACATTTGCTTGTTGATTCTTTGCTTATTCTGAACCCAGAAACTTTCACACCCTAAATGTAAAAATTAGAAAAAAAAAAACATTGCTAAGTGTCGTGTGCACAGCTGTCATACTAGCATTGCAACAGGAATAAATAGGAGGATTGTGGTCCCAGCTCAGCTGGGCAAAAACAGCAAAAAGGTATTGTGGGTACAGCTCAAGTGGTAGAGTACATGCCTGGCAAGATTCCATTTCTGCCGCAATACATATTATATATATAACTTGGCCATAGCGACAAAATTCTTTGTGATTTAGATGAGTGGAATATTTTATATTGTCTTCTTTTTATCCCACAGAAATTGCTGATGAAATGTTGTAAATAATGTTAGATAGAAAATAATGTTAG